CATACAAAGACTGAGTTTCAATAAAGATAGTAATAATTGAAGGCAATACATCTGATGTAAACTTATGGTCACATTCTTCTAGCTAACTGGTTTTGACTTTTCCTCCCAAGGATTTTTTTCTCCCTGTCTCAGTTCTCTCTGAGCTTCAATCTCTGAGGATTCCAGTCAGTTAAATTCGGAGGTTGCTTGGGAGATGGCAGATACCTTGGTTCTCTTCTTAGCCTCCATTCCCAACTTCTGCTTTAGTTTTCAAAACAAACAAACCATTTTTCTCTAGCAGAAAGGGAAGAGTTTGAGTAATCTGATTTTGTAGATGACCCAAGGCATGCAACTTTTACAGATGTAAATTAATTGTCTGAGATGAATGAGTGTGGATTGAAATAAATGTGTCCACTGTCAGTGGATGTGGTGTGAGAACTGGCTGACTCATTCACCACATGTATCCCTTTTAAAAGAAGATTATGGAGTCCAAATTAGCTAAAGACTGCTCTGTCTTCTAGGATACCCATGAAATAGACAGACATGCAAAGAACTGATTCTTAACACAACCTATACAGAACATGCAATTAGTGTAACATAGTATATGTGTGTGGCTGTGTGAAATATTTATCACTGGTAATTTCTATGCTATTCTAGTCCAAAATGGCTCCACTGACAATATCCCTCCATTATTAGATCCACTTCTTGGAGTGCTCTATGATCAGTGATCTCCTGAAAGAGATCTCTGAACAACACATCTGCCATTGTGTTTGTCTTCCCTTAAAGGTATTCTTTCTTAAAGCCATATTCCTGTAGGGTGAGACTGCAGGACACAGACTTGTCCTGGGCTTCTCAGAGCCATTCAGTGTTTCATAGTCAGTTTTGAGTTTGAACTGACACCCCTACAGATAGCAATGTAATTTCTCAAGGGTGCATACAATAGCATAACACTTTATCTTTGAAGTAGAAGAATAGGATTCTCTCTCCAACAGTTTCTCAGGAACACCACTGGATGAAGAGCTTGGTCTGCATCCACTTGTGTTAACACTGCTCCAATGCCCCGCTCTGAGGATCTGTGGTTAATGTGAACAGTTTTTCAAAGTCTAGAGCTTATAAGACAAGATTACGACTAATTGCTGCTTTCAGCTGCTAAAACTCAACCTGGCAGTTTTCAGTCCACACATTTCTTTCTTTCTTCATTAAATCTGACAAAAAGCCTGTATGTTGACTGTACTTGGGCACAACTTCAGGTAGTAATTGGCTAGTTCCAAGGACAACTGGACATATTTTTTATCAGTTGAAAGGATAAACCTTGGCTTCCAGAGGTGACATATTCCCGTGGCCCATCTAGTATCTGAGGAAGGCTAATGATTCAGGCCAATTGGGCAGGGACTCCAGACTTGCTGATGCATTGAAACACCACCTCAGATATTACAGATGCTACTCCCAGGAGGTTATATTTCCTTTGCAGCTTGCTTGGCAAGGAATTCCTTTCCCTGTGACTGCTGCTCTCAAGATCCATGGCTCCTCACTTGTAATGTTCTTAAGACAGCATGTAGGTTCCACACCAATACCTACAGTTAACTTCCTTTTTCAAAATCGAGCTTTTCAACACTTGTCTAGTGGGTGCATGAATCCAAAAGACCACTAGGTGTCAAGCAAGAGATAGAAAAGCTCTAATCAAGTGATTGTTAGGCTGAACAGTCAACCAGCTGACCCACCATTTCAAGAGTTTTTTTTTAGAAGTTCAATGGGCTGATGGTAAGGAATAGAAAAAAGGAAAAAATGTAATACATGGAGTAACCAAAGCATTGTGCTTGCCAATTGGAGGAGGCTTTTATTTTCTTACTTATTTGACAGGTCAGGAGATCAAGACAGCATGCATAGCATAACACAGACTTCTAATATGGTGAATGATGTTAGATGGGAATAGAATTTCAATCAAGTGAACCACAATCACAGCCCATAAAATGATGCCTATAAAACCTGTACAAATACCAACGTAGACCTATTTCAGGTACACAGGTACACAGTAAGGGCATGTGGAGGGGGCAGCAAGTTTTAGGACAGCATTATTTTCTGCCAGCTCCAGGATAGGAAGGGAGCATGGCAGCTGCATGGATGTGGCCAAAGATAATATCTGGAATTAGCAAACAATGAAAAGAAATGGAGCAGTTATGTTGACTAAGAATCAGTGAGGTAAGTTGTAACCAGTTGGCTATGGTGAAAAGTCATGCAAATGACTTCATTTTGTACTAGCTGAAGCTTTTGAACCGTCTCCCATCATGGCAGCCATGGACATAATGCACTGCAGCTCAGTCCACAGGTTACCAACAGAGGGATAACCATGGTCTGGCTAATTGAATCTCAAAATTATCCTTTGCTCTTGTTCATTTTTACATCTTGAAACAAAAATGTATGTATCTTTTGCATTCTGTGTTTCTTATTCAAAATAACTCACTACAAAAACTGTCTCAATTAACTATGGAACAAAGAATATGCAAATGCACAAAAACATTATGGATGGAATTAGTAAAAGCTATCATCAGTGTGATTTTTAATAAGAAGCTCCCAATATCTGCAACTATACTCATACTCAAAGTAATGATGCTAGATAATATATGAAATCCTTATGTTTTGATCCTATGCTTATCTGGGAATAATCCTGGTTGAATGCAGTGGGACTTGCTTTTCAGTAAACATGCATAGGATTGTCATTTAAGTTGTTAAATATTACTTGGGGAAAAAACCCTATATTTTCATTTAAACCATACACCAAATTGTTAGTTAATACTGTATTAGAAATAACTTTCAGAAAAATGTACCAAAAGTATATTTTACATGAAATCTACTTTGTCTTATTCTACAGATATTTAATTAAATGAAAACCTGAAGTATCTCAAAATGTATTTATATGAGTCTGTATAATTTTTTGATATAATTTTGGATTCCTTGTTTTTCATCATCTTTTATAAATTTTGCACTAATGCCCTCTTTTTAGACATTACAAAGATGATTATATCAAAAAGTTTTTAAACCCTCTTTAAAATATACAGCGCACATATTTTAGAAGCCAACATTATTGATTTTTACAGTGGAAGATTATCTTTAAAATTAGATTTCTATTTAAAAAAATAATATGAAGGATACATATACATAAAAATATCAAACAGTGTGTAAAAAATAAAATCTAAAAGCATAACATCTGAACACAGACTAAGCTTTAATATTTAGTGTCATTTGAGCTCACCAATTGTTTTTTTATAAGACACGGTTTATAGGTTAGTGAAAAAATGCACAACTCACAGCATAGATACAGTCTTCCAAACTACATTTTTGTAGTCCCTGAAGTTTTTCAAGATTACACTACCAATGCTTAATGGCTGAATAGCAATTTTTGGTGATGTAATTTCCCCCTTTTTAAAAATAATATAGAAACAAGTGTTTTTAGCTTCTTCTACACCTAATGCACATATTTTGCATTGAGCACTTCCCCAGAACACTAAAAAGCTCCCCAAAATGGGTTGAACAATGCAATCCTGTCAGTCCCTACTGCCTGAAGTTCTTCTGAAAACTATGCCTCTGGCCACAAAAAGGTGGCCTCACTGGTTTAATGTATTGGCCAAGCCTAAACAGCTGTGATATCTTTAGAAAACCCTAGCTAAATAAATTATAGCTTACTGCAGTATGAAATAAAAGATTTGGCTTAGGTTTCTATGCTTTTGATCATAGTCTTTACATAGAATAGTCTCTGGTGATGTAGCTAAAATACTGTTTCAGCTGATTTTTTCAGTTGATCACTAGTTGAGTCACTAGTTAAGAGGGCTGTGCAGCACAAGGCAAAAAGATGTTTCAGAGTGCAGGGAGGCACAAATATAGCGCCTATCCACTACTCCATAAAACCAGATGTATCTTTTCCTGGGAGGGCATGGCAGCTGCGGAGGATGACATGATCCTGAGAAAAAATATAGCCGTTTTAAGGAGTTGCAAAGAGGTGCCTCATTTGCATCCACATGTACTCCAAAGTATCTTCTTTGAAGCTCTGCAAAGCCCTGTGAGTTAATATCTACAAAAGTGAAAGCCACTGTATGACTAAAATAATCCTGTCATAGCTAAGGGTGAACTGACATATTACCAGATGTAACAGTGACATCTGTGTAGACTACTGCTATATTAAATGGCACCCCTGCATTTTTATATTTGTTATTACTGATAAAGTCAGAGTAGACCTTAAAGTTCAATGGACCAAAGGTAACAGAATAGTATCAATATTCCACAATTTACTCCTATAGTGCTTGTTTTAGTACAAAAGACCACATTGGCAAGCATGCTAGTCTTGCTAGATAATATGTAGATTAGTTTAGAAGTTAATAGAAACCTTCACGAGGTTACCTGCCCATCTTTCAGATCCAAATACAAGAGAAAATGAAGGAACTGGGAGATCTAGCAGGTAAAAAAGAAATCCCATTGTGGTAATATATAAAACAAACTTTAAGAATGTTCTACAAGTGTGAAGATACAGGTGAACCTTGTTGCTGAAAAGCTGAGTATACCATATACTGTATCACCTGTACAAGGTCTTGCTATTGTCACTGTAGAGTGCTATGTTTACATATTGTATACTGACCTTAGCTATAGGATTTTTGTAGGATAATTAAGGGCCAATTTCTCTATATGAGGAGTAATTATGTAACACAATGTATTGCAGATTCCACCACTTCTCCTTATAATATAAGGGCCTTCAAGCACTAAATAGCATACTTGCTATGTGTGAAATATTCTTATCTTCATAATAATAAGAAAACAAAAAGAGTTTAAACAAAATCCTAAGTGGTAACTTAGTTTTATATTTCACACCAATCTTTTTTATCCTCTAATTTCAATTAATACTTTTCTCACAGCTGTTTCTACAACTAACTTATTAGGCAATTAAACCTCCTCTCCCTTTGAAAGCACAGTATAGCAAACATGTCCCTTTTGTCCAATATTTAATTATCAGGATCACATGACATATAATTGTTATAAGCTACTAAATCAATGCAAGAAATCAACTGAAATAAAAAATGAATACTGTCGTATCAGTTCATTCTCCATTATGATGCAGAAATTGCGAAATTTTTATTTATTTATATATATATATATATATATAATTATTTCAGCCTCTAAAAAAACCTCATTCTCAGCACTAAAGTATTTTGTTCAGTTTTGTATATCATTTCAGGGACATTTTGTAAAAAATCGGTTTAGAGTTTCTTTAATGTAATTCAACAAAAAATAAACAGGTTAAGTGAAGATTACATTTTCTTGAAATGGAAAGCCCTGAAAAAGAAAATGAAATGGTTCTGAGAACTCTGAGGTAGTATCTCAGGCCACTACATTTGTGGGTACATATTGTTATTAGTCATTCTCTGTGGAAGTAGCTACAAGTTCTCCTAAGTATAACGCTAAATTCTGCTGTCAGTCCTCTTGGAAAGAATGTGATTCTTGGGGCCTTGTGTCTGCACAATGTGTTTGTGCATACTGAGACATTTATGGTCTTCCACTATTAACGGCAAATGGCTTCAGAGCTTCCGATACTAAGCACTGCTCATGAGCCATCGTTTGAATGTTCTCACAGCCAGTGACAACTGTGATATTAAAGTAACTCTCATACCCTGAATTGTCCTACTCGTTACCTTGGAAGCTGCCATTACAGCAGCTGTGGCTGCAACATTTAGCCCCCGTTTCCCAAAATGCACCAGGGCATCATAGCTGCGATCTTTTGCTTGGACTAGGCAATCATCTATTTCCTGTCAAAAAAGAGAAAAAAAATCCACAATCAAACTCAAGAGAGTTCAAATAAGCCTCTCTCTTTCGGCTTACCATTTATGAAAGAGAAAATATTTCCATACCCTCCCTAAATACTTTTTTGTTCCCAGTCTTCAAACAGGCCACAATGACTGGGTCAAAACAGTTTAAACAGGGTATGGTTTATGTAATCATCTATCTTCCTCACTGATATAATATTAATCAGAGAGGGGCTGTCAGAGCTTTATAGCAAAAGAGACATGCAAAGTTGGGGAGTTGAAGTTTCTTCCATTCCACTATCAGCATGACCTAAGTCATAATATAATTTGTTTGGTTTGGGCTTAACATGTTACATGAACCTAACCACTGTAGTTCGGAGATTGTGTTTTACAGCTTAACACAATGTAAGAATCTACTTGGAGAAGTAAAATGAGGAAGTATTCAGCTCTGTCTATTCATGCATTCCTTTTGGTGGAAAAATAGGGATATAAACTTACAGTGTACGTCCTAATTAGGGTGATAACATGTAATGATATGTGGGAAAGACCTTGGGAGACTGGGCCCAGTAATGCTCCCTAGGGAACAGTCAGATAAGAGACACCATAGCCTGCAGCTGGATAGTGGGCAGGGCAAGGGGCTCAGAAGAGACCCTCCCTAATTTCTCAGGGTGTAAAGGAGACAGGGGGAGAATTGTACTTTCAGACTTGCAAGATTCTGTTAATACAGCCTTACAATAAAGTAGAATTAGCTCATCTGGTTTTATTTCCTATCTGGTCCACCTGGTAAGGCTGACATAAATGAGTAAAAAATATCATATCTAGTTAAGATCCTTAGGGAGCACCTGGGTCCAATACAGATTCTCAGGAGTTTGCTTAAGGCCCAGGCTGAGGAAGAGCAATCCACAGATTGTATTCCAAAGGCCAAGCATGATGTAGGATTGCTGCTAGCTAAATTACTTTCCAAAAGGATTAGAAACTGGGTATACAGATCATGCCAAGGCACTGCTTGTTTAACCATTGTCTGATAACTAAATTTAATTAGCTGGATTCACACAATACACTAAGCCAAAACAAAAGCAACTAGATTACTCTTTGGCACAATAGGTGAGCCTACCTTGATTCCAGTGGTCTAGGTCTATCAGCAGTTGCTAACTTTTGCAACCTTTATTTGGTGGTGACAAATAGGGGGAGACTATCATTATTCTGTTAATGTGCTTCCATCAGCCAGCTGGTTGCTGGGTTGAAATGAATGAAAGAGAACAAAGGGGTACACGAGCCTTTAATTGTCTTGTCTTTCATTTGTTGGACTTTAACTTTCATAATTCCCATGTGGATAGGAATGAAAGAAGCTGTAGTCCAATATATCTGAAGGATACCAGGTTGGAGAAGGTTGCATTACAAATCTATTTCTCATATGAGCTGTTCTTCAAGATTTCTACTGACTGCTCCAACTGCCTTTGAAACCCTTGAAATTCTTTTCTATAGAGCCAATAGTTTAGACCATTTATTAAGTTGACAATCATCTCAGTGGGAGGTGGTTTTTTTTTAGCACTGACTTGTAAAAACAAGTCAACCAAGAAAAAAAAAGGATAACATACTGAAATGAAACTCTTCTTCCTGAAATGAATGAATGCAAAAAGTGTAAGTAATATTGTGCAATCAATAGCGCAATCCTATAACTTATTCAGTAGTTGCTGTCGCTCAGTTTGATGAAGTTCACTGCCGGTTAATGGAGTTACAGCCTTAAAACATTCTTCCTCATAACCTTATCTAAATTTATGAGAAATAATGCCACTGACCTTTTCTTTTGAAGATAAAGTTGGATGTACAAATTTCCTATATAAAAGACTGGAGCCTTTTGTGTATGGAGACAATAACCAAGCTACAAAGGCTATTTTGAGTTCATAATAAAATGGGAACCTACAGAAAAAGAAAAGAATATATTTACTTCGGTGTCCTTTTAAAATAAATTTGGAAATTTTTAAAATTTAATCAAGGATGCAAATTTATAAATGGTATGTATGTGTGCATTTGTAGAAAGCCACACACATATATAAATCACAGGTATAATGTAACCATTTGGAAATATGAATAGGAAAACCTGGAGGATTTACCAATGCTTTTTGTCAATCCTGAGAGATTATATTGCATTCTGGGGCTATGATTTTTCTTCTACAACAAGACTTTTAGAGATTCCTATAATGCTCCCTTTTTCATGTGGGTAGTTGCTTTATGATGTCAGCATCCAAAAGTTTTTCCCCTTGCATTTTGGCCTTTGCTAGTGTCTTTAAGTGCATCTTCATGCATAACAGAGCCAGGAGTCATGCTCACAAACTCATGTCCAATCCCTCCACCAGTAAGATGAAGAAGACCATAACAGGTAATCTATTCTTCTCCCTTCCATTTCAGAATGCCATGTGGAGTTGGACATTCATTCCTAAATACAGTAGAATAAGTTCCTATCACAGGTTGTTTCCATTCTGGTTGTCCCTTGACAACTTGCACAAATGCACACAGCCTGTTTCAAGATGATAACAATACGGGTAGTCCTCAATTTATGACCATTTGTTCAGCAATTGTTCGAAGTTACAAACATGCTGAAAAAAGTGACTTACGACCAGTGCCAGAAGTTACAGCCGTTGCAGTACCCCTGTGATCAGGTGATCAAGATTTGGTTGCTTGGCAGCCTGCCCACACTTACAGCCACAGGGGCACTTCAACTCCCCCAACTCGCTTATCTCTCCCACATGCCCTCTTGGCCTCCTGCCACCCTACCTAGTATCAATGAGTGCCTAATAATAATGTCTACAGTGTGTGCATGTATGTGTCTGTATACTCTGTTTTAGCTTTCTTGTGAAGAAGAAAACATTTCAAAGGATACCAACCAGCAAAGAAAAATGTCTGTGAATGTCTCTGCTGTTGTGAAGAGTGCAAATATGATCCAATACATCATCCATTTCACCTGGAAAGAAAGTATAATTAAATGTTTATCTCATACTTCCTAACTTATAGGTGCTATTTCTTTCCTTCCTAGTAAAAAGGCCAGGCCTACTATTAGACAAGGTGAGATAGCACTACTTCAAGTAACAGATTTATATTCAATAGTAAAAGCAGAACCACATTTATGTATTTATTAATTTACCAGCCAACATTTGTGTGGGAGACAAAAATGATTTGGAACATTTTCTATTCAAGAAACTAATGATTTGTTTAAGGATCATGTAGCATAAGTAATTCTGATATGGCATGAAAGCAGTTATAATAGTAATTCTGAATCTATTTTCAAACTGCACTGAATATAGTTTTTAAGTTTATACAATAATATATTTTATTACATTAGCAACTAAATTTATTTCATTCTGTAGGTTATTCAATTTCAATTCTTTTTCACATATATAAAAAATTCTAATATATTGAACATAAGCAGTTCATACTGTTCAAAATTAGATTTTTCATTATGAGCAATCTACTTATTTCATAAAAAACTAGAGGTGTTATCAGGTTTGAGAAAATCCCAAATTACTTCGGCCTGTTTCTCTGGCTTCATGGTGACAAGTAGGGTCATTTTGAAATGACTCAGACTGAATAAGGATATCCAAACAACTTAGCAGATCTGAGTGTTGCAGAAACATTTTGCACTGCATTTGCAAAAACCACACAACAATATTTGCACACACAAACACACATTTTGGTATGCAGTTAAGTATAATTGGGAAGTACGTGCTCATAAATATTATTATTAATATTAAAAGGCAACTACTTTTTATTAACCCTGACCTGATCAAGAGGATTGAAAGGCACTGTAGTAAACAAAAACTGGAATACTATTACAAAATAGATACAGATACAGCTACAGATATGGATGGAGATTTGCACAACTGTATATAAAATGGTGACCCACTCTGTGCCCAAGGCATAATTGTATATCTCCTATCTGTGCTTCAATGGCCAAGCACTTAATTAATCACCAGAGGAATGCATAATTTAATTATCCAAGAGGTGTATTTAAGAAGCAGGAAATATCATCCAAATATCAATCTTACTTCTCCTGATTTTTTAGCTAAAGTGGGAGGTGGGTTAAATCATCTGCACATTAGCTAAAAATTGACATTACTAATTAAAAATGAGGGGGGGATATAGTGATGATTTGGCACACTGTAAGCATGCAGAAAAATCACACCTGAAGCATGTAGGTTCGTCCTTCTTTCTAAAGAGTGGAGTAACAATTGTTAAAAGGCATTTTACAAACAGAAACCCGGGTTTACCTTAATGATCCTATGGCTGCTGCCACAGGATACTCCCAGAAATGCTACTTACATATTCTTTAATATCCTTTGATTTTACAGCTTTGTAAGAGTAATAGGCAGGATAAAGAGTGCCAAATATTAACCTGAAAGAAAAGAAATGGAAAAAAATGTCACAGGAAGTACCCAGGGCTGGAGCCAGAATTGATTCCTACTGAAATCAGTAGCCCAAGTTATGATAACAAATTTGTTCTCTTGATTTTAATGAGATCTAATTTCAACTATCTTTGAATGTTTTCTTCACTGATTTGTTTAATGTTTCTTTATGTACTAAATTTTTCAGTTGCTCCCACAGACAAAAATACAATAGAAATAATAGCACATTTAAAATCTGCCTTCCCAGTTAAAATACAGACTTAAAACAAGATCATGCCTTCCATCTGTCTGAACCATCAGCGCACCTTACTTTTTTTTCTCATTTTTTTGTTTTATTTTTACAAATTTTATTTTTATTTATTTTTTATCTTAAGTTTTACCAAAAAAATACAAAAAATACAAAATGCAAAAAAACAACAAAACCCTAGAAAAAGAAATATATGAAAAACTACAAAAATGCAGCTACCCAACTTAACAAAACAAAAAAGAACAACAACAGAAGTGATTGGACAACTGAAATGAGTTCTCTGCATCATTCTTATTGCTAAGGGATTAGTCCTTCACAACTGGAAAGATAAATTAGAGGCCTCAGTTATTCAGTGAATTGAAGACCTGATGTTATATGCAACTTATAAAAGAGTTGCTTATAGATATAGATCATATATGGATGATTACAGTGAACTATGGTAATCCTTTATATGCAAATCTTTATAGGCATATATACACATGTGAGAAGAATATATATTACTGTTGTTTTGCTCTCCTTTTTCTTTTATTTCTTTTCTATGGTTTTATTCTTTTTTATTTGTTTTGTTTAAACAAACAGATAAAGCCAATTTTAAAAGAAATAATGGAGTAAAAGATTGAAGTTAATTCTGAAGCCAATCAAAGAACAACCTAAGCAATATAAAAATCCTGGCTGGACAGCTCATTATTCCAGTGACAGGATACATGGAATGAATAATTCTCTCTCTGCTTTCAAATTATGCAACATTCTAATGAGAGAAAAAGTAACCATGTACAATAAAACAACACATTGCACGCATAACCTAATCAAATACGTATAAGAACAGACAGATTACACTTGTACAAATGCACTCTAAGCACCTTACTACAGGACAGTTGAGCAAGATGCAAAGCATGGTACTTCAGATGTTATGGTATGTACTGTGTATGTGTGTGTGTGTCCATCCGTCTGTCCGTCCATCCATCCATCCATCCATCCATCTATCTAGACTTGAAAAACTAGCAGGAAACTATCAACTGCTATAACCACTATTTCCATCTACAGGTCTGGTAAACCTACAATTCCAGATGGGATATAACTTTAATCAGCAGAGGAACTGGCCAAAGAAGGCACTCTTACTGGACTCAGACCATCCATTTTTTAAAATACAGGGGGCAAGGGGACACACTAGAGAATCTAAAATTTAAATCTAAAAATATATAATTCCCTTAGTAGACTAAGGAATATCAAAGCTTCATGCTTAGATTGGATATCTAAGCAAACATATTTTCTCATCCTTGACAATGATAGATCCAACTCTTCTAACAACTTCTATATATTCTCACACTGAATGCCCAGCAAAGTGTCTTAGATCTCAGTTCCATCTTGAAAGTAACCCGCATTAGTGGTCACTCTAGGGAGACATTTATTGGTCTGATGGGCAGAGCAATAGTTGACAAAATTAAACTTCCACCTTGCTTCTTCAAGTCAGCCTAAATTTCTGACATTCAGAATTAACTTCAATCTTTTACTCCATTATTAGGCCAGGTCAGGATCTTCAATTCATTGGCCAGCCAAGAACACTTTCAGAAAGGCTAAACAGTCTTTTAACTATGAGGACTCAGACTTTGTATCTACAGTGGCTTTTAAGAAATAACACTTCATGTCAGAGAAACATTTCTTATCAGGTCAATAGGACTCTCTTCTTCATAGCTATAGTGGGAGAAAAAATTCAGCTCTCACCTTGCATTTCCCAGCCAGTCTGCCTTCTCAGGTTTTTTTCCCCTAAAGGTATTCTTTTTCCCTTAAGGGCACATGTTCAAAATTATTTAAGGCAAATTAATTATCTGTTATGATACTTCTAAGGTATCCCTATTCTACAATCAATGTGGTACAAGTATAGAAAAAAGATGGCAATATAGTTATGCTACTTATTGAGAGGACAAACCACAGATTGTAATAAATATAAAACAAAAGAGAATGTTTTTTGAGAGTATTGAGGTGTCCAAAGCGATACAGAGGATTTATGGTATGGCAGAGAAACTATTCAAACCACTGAGTCCCAATTAAACTGGAAAATCAATTTAAAACATTTATTTACAATAACATACTTCCAAAATAGCCAACATGGTCTCTAAGAATCTGACTCCTTTTCTACCAATGAGGCATTTTTTCTCTCCCCCCTCCAATTTATTTATAATTTGACTTTCTCTAGCTCATTTTTCTCCTTCATGAACTTGCTATCTTGTCCTTGTTTCCTGCAAAATAGACTCCACTATCGGACATTAAGATCTGTTTGTTTTTTTTCATTTATCCCAACAGCAAAAACTAGTTTAGTTTTAGGAGACAGCTGAATTTACAGGTTATGGAAGATATGGTTATGTATGGGAACGCCTTGGATTGTTTCACACCAGAGAAGCAGGAGGAACATTTTCAAGTTGTGTGTGCCAGACCTTTAGTGTCTCATGCATACATATAGACTATTATTGCATGGGGGAAGTACCCCAACTCTATTTTGCACCGTCATAAACTATAAAGCCAGACAAACTGCTACAGCATCTCACAGAAGAAAATGCTCTCTTGAAGATGTGCATATAACATGAATATGGTGAATATGGTCCAAATTTAGCTAAGGTGCCTAAAAGTTTTTTATTTCTATCATTTGAGGTCATTACCTCAGCCATACTTTACTGCATAAGAGGATAAGGTTTGATTGGAGAGGATGAGCATTTTTATGCATCTCATTTATAGAAAAAAAGATTATTAATAATTCAAAGTTTACATTATATGCAGGTAAACATAGACATAAAATCTAATGTCTTTCATATGTAACTGACTATACCATCCATCACTATCAGCCAGCTTGGAGATGAGGGCACTGCAACCAAAGATACACCAAGATGACCTGAATGAGAAAGTCTGAGATATTTGATGGAAAGAGCAGTTCATACACAGAAACAGAGTATATGACCCATCCAAAATAGGAAAAATGGACCAGAGAACAAAGGTAATCACAGAAAAGTCATTCAGGACCATGGACAGATCACAATAAGACAAATGGAATAATACCTATCTGTAACTGATCTAACCACGCAATACAGTCCCTGTGAAAAACAGATCTGTCCCTGGTCTGTCTGTCTTTCTTTCTTTCTTTCTTTCTTTCTTTCTTTCTTTCTTTCTTTCTTTCTTTCTTTCTTTCTTTCTTTCTTTCTTTCTTTCTTTCTTTCTTAGGAATGAAACACCTGAAGGATATACAGTAATCTAATGGCATGGAATTTAAGTAGACTTCCTAGAGTTAAGCTAAGCTATACATGAAGAAAATGTAGCTGAAGTTTCGAAGTCAGTTGTGCTGAATCAATTTGATAATACATAATACAGTACATAAATCAGTCCACTGGATTTCAGAAGCTTTACTATGATCCCTCCCCATGATCTATGATGATCTCAATCCGTATATTCTCCTTCACACATAAAGGGAAATAATGAACAAATGTATGTTTCCTATTATGAAAATTATATATACACAAAAGTTACTTCTTTCACTCCTACTGGAACATATACATAGAATTTCAGCAGTATCCAACATGATTTTTCACTGAAGCCTAACACAAAGGCTATTGCTCTTGTCAATAATGGTGACAAAGGAGGGAAAGATGGCTTACCCTATTGGAAACTCCAAAAACAGTGCCATAATAGGATGTCCATGCTTTTAATTTAGGCCTACATAGCTACAGTACTGTATTAAAAGTATAAACTGATTTGTTAATTTGAATAAAGGAATTTTAAAGAACTATGTAAAGTTACATAAACCCCAAACCATCTGAGCTCCAGTCCTATGATTATTACAGGTTAGGGTTAAAGTTAATTATTTTGTACTTCAGCATCTGAATACTTCCACATCTGAGAAGTACAAAATCATAGAACTATTAGTATTACTAAGAACCTCTTACTGGAAAAAAAATAAGAACACTGCAGCAGAATCAATATGGAAAACCATGATTAGAATTCTTTCATTAAACAAGTAGAAATACTCCTAGATTTTTAACCTGTTAGTTTATGTTCTGGCAAACATATTCTGCAGCCAAGTTATCCTACCATATTTCCCATTATTACCATATTATTGTGCATTTTCTCTTTGTATTATAAATACAGCTTGCATTCTGGAAGCGTAGCCCACCAAGAAAAAATAGCTTATCAAATCCTTATCCAACTCAACCATTTTTTTAATGGTTGCAAACACCTTTTTTCATTGCACATACATGCTTCTTGCTGCTGCCAAATTAAACCCATACTCTCACCTCTCTTTACTAATTAGTTTGGGATCTGTAACTATTCTGTACTAATCAAATGTTAATTTTCTTGTTATCAGGGAGGTATTCCAACAATTTAGATAACTGTGCAGCAAGGGTGATTTGCAATATCTACTTGAAAGCAGCATGCAAACGTGGAACTCAAGAAAATGTATTTAGATTTTTTGTATCAAAACTGCCCACAAGTCCTTTCATACATAATTAGGATGGAAGAAAACATTCCTGCTTATCTTTCTTTTTTAAATTATTTGGCATTTCAAAACTTGGCTAACTTGCTGAATGTCACTTCAAATTATATCAGCAGATCTTGATCTACACTCTCACCATCTCTACTGTATCATTTTTTCCACAAAATTAGCACATAACTCAAATAGAGTTTGTTTTTTGGGTTGGGAGAAACTCTTGTTTCTTCCAGATGTGGTAATGTTTTTATTCGTTTTATTCAGCAAGTTTA